TAAAAATTTAAAGAAATAAAACTAATAGTACAGAATCTACTAAGTATATTAATATTGGAGAAGGCCTTGGTATATATACTATAATATAGCTGTAAAAAATTAAGCTTAGTAATTAATTTCTTTTTATAATAAATAATTTTAAATATATATTAGCTATATAACTTTTTTAAAAGTCTAAAGTATACAATATTAAGCAGCTGCAGTTTATATAATAAGTAGACTAATATATATAAAAAAATAATTTTCTATACTATATAAAATTAATTAAACTACTAAGTTATATAACTGCTATAGCTGTTAAAAATTAATATATAATACTTACTAATAGTTTTTAAAGCTGTATATTTATTAAACATATTCTAAAGCCAGTTAAAGCTAAATTTATTAGTAGTCCAGCTATTTTTACTAATACTTAAATAATATAATTTTAGACAGACTTTATACTATATTAATTAATAATTCTGTACTGTAAAGATAATCTATAGTAGCAGTACTATTTCTAAAACTAAAATTATAATAATTAAAGTTATTTATTTATAGTTTTTTAGCTGTATATATTTAGTATATAATTTCTATATTTTTAAGCTATAGATTATATAAGCAGTTAAAGCAACTTTTATCTAAAATCCAGTCTTATTTATATTCTATATATTTTTATTAAAAATACTATATTTTTGGACTGTATTATAAATAAGATTAAATTATTTTTAAATAAGATAAGAATCTTTGTATTTAGTATATTAATAATTATACTTTAATATAAATTTAAATATTAATTCCGGATAATATTTAATAAAGTAAGTAATTTAATATTTTAATATAGTATTCTGTTAATTTAGCTTTAACTTTGCTTAATATAGCAGCTGGGCAGAGAATTAAGTATTACAGATTTTAAAAGGCAGCTTTTAGTAGACTATATTAAAAAGCTACTATTTTAATATATTTTTTTTAATTACAGATAGCTTTCTGCAATTAGTATTTTTTTTAGTATATAATTTAATACTATTTAAATAATTTTTAAAAGTATTTATTTTAATATTAAATGCGGCAGCGCAGGCGGCCTTTATAGTAAACTTTCTACTTTTAAAAGTTTTAACAGTAAGATTTAAATGTTTATCTATATCAGCTATATTAATATATAAAAAGAAACATTAAAAGAATTATAAGATATTTTAATATAGGGTGGTTTGGGCGAGTTCTTTAACTTTAAGTTACTGGGGGTGCAAGATGCGGCGCGGCGGCCGCCGGCTCGGTATCGCGCCGGCTCGGTGTCCGATTACATTAAACCTAGAAGAGAAAGGGATGGAAGAGAAGAGGGAAGAGAAGATGGAGGAGAAGAGGGAAGAGAAGAAAGTTGCCTACACATGGACGAGAAGACATCGTCTGTAGAAGAAAAGAAAAGAAGACCAGAAGAGAAGAAATAGATAGACTGTCCATACATTGCGGCGCCTCCGGCCTCTTGGTGCCACGTGATCTGCTCCGTACACTTGGCCATTCCCGCGTACATCACGTGGGAATCCACGCATCCATCCATGCGAACGATGCCAAAAAGAATTTTGGGTGTGAATACATAGTAGCTGCCTCCAGAAAGTCCGAATGTCCAGTGCTCAGGTTCCATGACAGAAGGCCCAAGCACTCCAGGAATAGCGCCATAACTTGGAACATTTACTCCGCGCGCTTGTTCCCCAAGACATAAATTCTTCCTGCACCGGCAAGATCACGGGGAAACTATCATCAATATAACTATCGCCATCGTGGCCGAGTCCTCGCCCACGGTCAGCTAGGTTTTGCGTCTCTGGCGTTGGGTCATGCATAAAGGGGGGCCGTTCTTTCGGTCATTCTGGAGGAACCACTCTCACATCAATGGCGTCATTGTGCTGAGAGAATTTATTGTGCTTAGAAACTTCTCAATTAAATACGAATCCTTCTCTTTCTTTTGTGGATTATTGGGCGTGATGATCCGGAACCTTCACATCAGGCCATAGGAACCACATCACATCCCAGAATCTTCCGATCGCGCAAATGGTTAAATACTCTGCTGCACGATCTACAGCCAGGCTTCGCTGAACATGAGACCAATTGCTGATCTGCGGAGTTCATCGAGTGATGCTACCCTTTGACAAGCACCGAACAAAGAAAGTCGATGGGATTAGGGCTAGCATCGGAGCTGTTCCTTGGATACCGCAACGCGCCGTGCCGCCCACCGGAAGCCAATCTCTGCCCAAGGGCTAATTAACCGCGGGTCCACATGATGTAGGTGATAGACAGATGTAACCTCGGAAGAGCCCAGCTCCCCTTGCATCACCCCGCAGTTTGATGTGACGAAGTGTGACTGGCATCTATGCTTATTTATCCGCCTATCACGGAGTATCATGACGCTGCCCTACCAGCAGACCACCCCACCCCATTGCGGACGGCTGTGGGGTATAAGTTAGTCTATATTCCTCGTCACGGCCCACGAGCTAGTCTTCTCCTCTCCTCAGAAGTCTTCTCGTTCCTCACGCCGCTTCGCCCCGGTCGCTTAACCAACATGCATCGAATTATCACATTCCTAGTCGGCCTGATCCCCCTTGCGCAGCTCGTCCGCGCCTCGCTGGACATCGTCCCCGGCGCGACGTGGACTGCGGCGGGGACCAACAAGCATATCCAGGCCCATGGAACCGGTAGGCAAACCCGTTTCAGACCATTGTCAAGAAACCTTACGCGAGCAGGCTAACCTGCGACCGCATGTGCGTCTCAGGGCTCACCGAGGTGGACGGGGTGTATTACATAATCGGCGAGAACCATACCTCCGGCTCCAGCTTCCAGTCGATCAACTGCTACTCTAGCACGGTAGGAGGCCCCGAGATTGAATGCAATGCGTGGCGTCCTATGCTAATTCTGCTCTTGAGAATCTCCTGGACTGGTCCTTCGAGAATGAACTCTTGACGTTGCAAGCTTCCGGGGACCTGGGGCCCAGCCGCGTCGTCGAACGGCCCAAGGTGATTTACAACCAGAACACGAAGAAATACGTCATGTGGCTGCACATCGATGACTCGAGCTATGCGGAGGCCCGCGCAGGCGTTGCTACGAGCGATACTGTGTGCGGAGCCTATACCTATCTGTATGTACGCCCCTTTAGCCGGCGATGAGTACAGGGTTCTGAGGAGTGTCAATCCAGGAACGCGTCGCGGCCGCTGGGGTTCCAGTCTCGAGATCTCGGTCTCTTCAAAGGTAGGCGCCTCTTGACTTTGGTATAGTGGATCGCTGATTAATAATGTTGCTATCGCGCAGATACCGATGGGACGGGCTATCTTCTCACCGAAGATGTAGGTGTTTCTGTCCCATGAGCCGTCCCCTTTCTAATGTCGTGTCCAGAGGGCCAACGGTCTGCGCATCGACCGGCTGTCGGCCGACTATTTGACCGTCGAGAGCAACGTTCATCTCTTCACGGCAGACTACGAGGCGCCTGCCGTGTATAAGACGGGAGACACGTATTTTATGTTTGCCAGTCAGCTGTCAGGTTAGTTCACTCACCCAGACAATTGATAAATATGCTAATTGCAGGCGAGAGTAGGGTGGAGTACGTATATGCCCTTTCGTGGCTACTCATATTGACGCAAGCACCAGGCCCAAATGATAACAAGTATACTACGGCGACGAATCTTTCCGGGGTATGCCACCTCTCGGACACTTTTTGACAAATATAAGACGCGATGCTGACTCCTCTCCCCAGCCCTGGTCGGATTGGGCGGACTTTGCACCCTCGGGCTCGGAGACTTACAGCTCGCAGACCAGCTATGTCGCCGATGTGAACGGCCTTGTGATGTGGGCTCACTCCTATACACCGACGCGCAGAAATCCATCGCAGGCACTAATCGTAACGCAGGTACATGGGCGACCGGTGGGTGTCGACCGACCTGGCCTCGTCCACCTACATCTGGCTTCCGTTGACAATCAGCGGAACTACCGCCACAATTGTACGCACTCCCATGCTATCGTCCCAATCGTTCCTTCTTGACTGAGTGACTCTCGGTGTAGACCTCCGATGCCGCCTGGGCCCCCTCCTTTCAAGACGGCACCTGGACTACTGTCTCCAACACCACCACATACGGCGCCAAATCCGCCGGTACGATCGCCGGGTCCGCCACCTCCATCACCTGCTCCGGCTGCAGCTCCGAGATCATCGGCTGGCTCGGAGGCCCTGACAACGGGACCCTCACATTCGACGCGGTGGACTTCGCCGCCGCCGGGGAGAATACCCTGCAGATCTCGTACGGGAACGGCGACAGCACCCAGCGCTACTGCTCCGTCACCGTCAACGGCAAGACGCACATCGTCGCCTTCCTGCCCTCCGGCGGGCCGCAGACGCTGCGGACGAGTGTGCTGAATGCGGAGGTAAACCAGGGGAGTGGGAATGTGGTTACCTTCTCTGCGTACAATGGGGGATACTGTAGGGATTTCCTGCCGTTTGTCCGTTTGAGCTTCCTAGCTGACGTCTTTCGTACTGTTAGGTCCTGATATTGCTGGCTTGGTTATCTCGTAGGGGTTGGATTGGCTGGGATGGGTCGGCTCGGGTTGGAATGGGTGGGTGTGGGGAGTATGCTGGAGCCCTTGTCGATTTTGTCGATTACGAGACTGAAGTAGGATGTTGCTAGTGAGGAGATGTGTAGAACTGACGACGATTGCTCTTTTTGGATGCGAAGTGTATTCGCCAACACCTGAACGACAAACACCACTTAAAAGAATGGGAATTAACGTCTGCGATCTTGATCTTGCAGCTCTTGATCTAGTAGCAAGGGCAGTTGCGATCATGGAAATGTTTTGAACGATTGTCACATGTATTGTAGCACGTGATAACTAGCATTATTATCCAGCTGCCCCGCGAGCCCTAACTCGGGAGCTTCATCCCTTGGTTTTATCCCATTGCGATCAGATCCAGACCACCAAGTTGTAGTGGGAGAGCCTGTCCAGGTTACAACGACTACAAATATGACCCTACGTGGTTTGGACATGCGTATACATATTAAACCTCTTTGTTGGTCCAAGACGCTGGCTGCTACCGTCTAGTCGAGTCCTCACCGTATTGGCTTAACCCTACCCTACCCGACCTAGCAGACTCCTTCCGGAGTGAAACTCATTCACAAAACATTTGCCATCACACCCACTCCACCGAGCAGAATTGCACCGGCCCCAATCCCGCAGACGCGTGTAGCGCCGCCAGTGAACAATCCAGTCGAGGGAGTGGCGGTGGCGGTGGAAGAGACAGCAGGGGTGGAGGTCGGCACGGAAGACGAAGCGTTCGCAACGGTGCTCGACGTGGTGGTCGGGATGATGGGAACGGAGGTCGAGCTGCTGCTGCTGCTTGTCTCATCCACGGAAGTCGAGAAAGAGGATGGGGCGGACGGTGCGGAGGTTGGTTGAGTAGCGGGGGTGGTATTGGGGACATCCGCGGCACTCGACACGGTCGGAGTCAGCGTCACGCCGTACTGTTGGGCGCAGATTTCGCGGTCCAGGCCCTACACTGATTCAGTCTTGATGGTCTTGCATGGGAAGAGGGATGGGTGGACGTACAGTGGGACAGCAGTAGGGGTCCTGAAGGCAGAAGGAGTCGCCGGGGCAGGCCCCTGCATGGGTGTTGGTTAGCTAGCCGACGGTGGAACGGAGATGCTGGGTACGTACAGGCCCCCCCCGGACAGCAGGTGTCACCCCGCGAGGGAAAGTAGCAGGTGTTGCTGGTGCCGCAGAGGATCGAGCCTTCCGGGCAGTCGGAGACGGTGGTCGTGCCGGGGATGAAGGCGCCGTTGCCGTTGCTTTGGCGCTTCAGGAGATGCAGAGCCTCTAGCTGAGTGAGGCCGTGCGCGGTGGCCGTGGCCACGAGAGGGGTAAGTGCGATCAAAGAGGGACGCATGTTGACCAGAAGGATTGAACGAGTGAAGGTGAAGACAAAGCAGGGTGGAGAAAGAACAATGAGAACAGGAGCAGCAGGGGGCGTAGTCCCCGGGCTTTATAGTTCTTTGTCGCTGGCCTTATTGATTGTGCCCGTATATACCTCCAACACCAGAATACGAGGTCCCTGTATCGCGTTCGCTTGTTCCTGGCGGCTAATCTGCGGATACGAGTCCCCTGGCCATTGAGGGTTGTGGCCAAGGAAGTCTGTTTGGCGAGTCCTGTCGATCCCCTCGTGCCAAGACCGGGGTGATTGGGCTAGCAGTCGTCGCAGAGTACGAGGAGTGCAGCTGTTTGGTAGAGTAAGGACTGGATACATTAAGCAGTGTGTTGACGCCTGTCCTGGGCCGATGATCTTAATTAAGCATCGACGTGCAAGGATTGATGGCCCTCTTACGAGTGGGATTTAGAGTCATCGATGGCGGCGCATTGACCCATGACGGCGGCCTATCAGACTCAACAGTTCTTCTTGCAATCCTTGGCCAGGCAGGGTCTCTAGTGCACATCTGTCATAGGTAGGATCGATTCCTGGCTCGCTTCGGTCCCGAACTATTGAGCGACTATCCCACGGCCGTGCCAGCTATTGATGACAGTGGTTGTCTGCACTACTGAACCCTGACGCGCCAACCAGACTACCCTAGCAGTAGACACGCTTATGATTCCCTGACTTCTTCTCATTGCCGGGCTAATTCATCGATGATGCCAGCCACGCCAAGGAGAGTGGAAATAAGGTCAGCCGCTCAACCCGAGCCGGGGGATGCAGCCCCGGACCACGAATGAATCCTTCTGCACCCCGCAATTCCTGTCCCGCTGGTGTAGCAAAATGTTCAAATGCATGACATATAGTAGTACTGGAATTATACTTTGCAACCAGTAAGTTACTACCTACTCTGTAGGTACTCCCCCTTGCCGTCAGGGATCGATATGACGGATGGATACTTAGTCATCGGTAGGGCAGAAGCTCGGCCCGAACAAACTCCGCCCGCAATGCCGCCCCACCAATGGCATCATAGCCTGCTCACTCATCCAGTCACCAGCCACCCCATCAATCATGCCATCAATTGATCACTAACTTACTTGCAGAAGTAACAGCAACATCAAACTACACTATCATTTCATCCACAGCACCACCTAGCATGACCATCACTCAGGAGCTCTCCTCCTGGCTCGCTCCCTCCACTGTAGAGGTGTCCAGCCCGCCGCAACTCAGCCAGCCCGCCCCCTCATCGCCCCCCGAGCTGCCCCTGCCCAACCCCAACCGCCAACCAACCATCATCCTCTTCCTCCGCCACTGCGGCTGTCCAGGTTTGCTTGCCTCCTCCATTGCCATCCTCTTTCAACGATGTTGACCAAATCAACAGTGGCGGAATCCGATTTCCGCACCCTCCGTCAAGCAGCCGCCCAGCACCCGCAGCTCAACTTCGTCGCCGTCTCGCACAGCGATGCACCCTCTACAGCGCGGTGGCTGGAAGCGGTGGGTGGGGCGGCAGAGCCTGGATCAGGGCCTGGATCGCATCCGGTGCAGGTGATCGTCGATGCCGAGCGGCGACTGTATGCGCGCTGGGGCTCGGGGGTGGCTTCCTGGGGTCACGTGTTGAGTCCAAGCGGGCTGATGACCATCGTCAAGTTGGGGCGTGAGAAAGGGATCTGGAACCGGCCGACGGAGAGCGGCAGTCGGTGGCAGGCGGGGGGGTTCTGGGCCGTGGATGGTGAGGGGATCGTGCGCTGGGGCCGGCCGGCCAGGAGGGCGGATGATTTTCTGGATGTAGAGGCGGCGATCAAGGCTGTTAGCTAGATGGTTTGATCGAATATTGGGTTGGTGTAGTTATGTCCAAGTCTAGTTGATTTGCTCGTATGTGAGATGGATTTGCGTGGCAACTGGTGGTGCAGGCATGCATTGGTCTAAGCCGGGAGTTTGTGCTCATTTACGCACAGCGACAACAGGATATACCTCGAAAACAGCCTGCAGCTCCGGTGAGAATTCCCGTCGTAGCCCTACGCTGGCCCGGTTGAGCAGCCCCCACAGTCGTTGGTCATCTGCCGCCTCACTCAGGGGTCTTGTGAACCGATCCCGAGTAAAGTCCCACGAAATGCTCACGCCAGTAGTACGTTCGAGTTCCCACCAGTCCTGAAGCTTATCCCTCGTCTGCTGGTCCAATTCTGGCGGTACATCCTCCATCACGTAGACTGTTTGGATGTGCCGGAAATGGTGGAAGATGTCGTGGAACAGGCCGGCGGAATTGACGAACAGCTCTCTGGCCAGCGCGATGTGTCGGACGGCGGGCGGTATGGTGGTGACGGATTGCCCATCCAGCTCCTCCAGTCGCTCATGCGGCTCGAGGATGAAATTGAGGTAATCCTCCGATGCGCCTGAGCAGACGTACAGCGCATCGTGCATGGGGTCGAACACCCCTGCTACCGTCAATGGTTGCTGAGCTGGATCGACTGTGATCGTTGCTCCTTGGCGCTGAAGCCATCCCAGGGCAATGGCCCGCGCTTCTTGATTCACACAAAGCTGCGGGAGGTCTATCCGTACGTTGTGCAAGAGGGTGTGGCGGAATTCGAGCTTGAGCTGTCCGGCCCCGGTGTTTGGGTCGGAAGGGCTCAACTGCCAACACCCTTCCCTCCAGCGGTAGATGGGGCGTCCAAGTTTCTGCGGAAGACTGTCCTCCCAGATGTGTATTCGTAGCTCTGCTGGAAGACATCGGAATTTGGAGAAGCCCATGATGTTGACTCGTGGGTATCCGAGATACAATGACAGGCAAGGAAGGAAGGCATATATCCAGGAGCCTGGGCCTTGCTGGGTACCAACGACAGATCATACTAGACCCAATACTGCTTAGCTGGTGGGTCAGGGATAAATCGATACGAGACGCTCCTACCAGTGTATTAAATAGGCGTACCACTACAACTTTGCCTGCGCCTTGCGTTGTAGGCCTTCCTGTACCAACCGCACAGCCTCCGCCGCACATCCAAACGAAGCCTGATATCCAAACCCGCCATGGCCATAATTATGCACCACCGCGACCCCATCGATTGTCTCCTGCTCCACCCGTGGACCAGCCTTTCGTATGGGACGCAACCCTACTCCGTGCCGGACAATGTCCAGCCCCTCAATGCCCTGCCCTTCCGCCACGAGGTCCGGACATGCCGCAATCGCTCGCCTCATGATCCGTACCGCCAGGTTGGGATCCGGCAGCGGATCCCACTGGTTCTGCTGGTAGCAGCCGCCCAGAATCGTCCCGCCCCCGGCGGCGCGCGTCATCATGTAGCATAGCTCCTCTTCCCCGTCGTCTGTTCCGGACAGGGCGGCCATCTTCCCCGGCGTGTTGCGGACGACGACGATCTGTCCGCGGCCTGGGTAGAGGGTCTCATCGCGCACGCCGCCGAGTGTTTTCGAGGAGAGACCGGTGCAGTTCACCACAATGTCTGCTTTGCGTCCAGAGTGGTGGGTCTGTGCTGCGTCGGTGATGTGCTTGAAAACTGCGCGCTTGAACACGGTTCCGTTTTTGCGACACTGGCCCAGGAGCCACGGGAGGTAAAGTGCGGTGTTGATGCAGACGGAAGTGAAGGTCTGGGCGCTGTCAATACCGGGAGGGAGCTGGTCTTTGGGCATGGATCGGAACTGGGTTGTGGTTTAGTAGACTGGTTGAGCGCAGAGCGAGGGCCAGATACACACGTTGGGAACGACGTCGCGGTACCACGGCTCAGCGTTCATGAGGGCCGCGAAGTTCTTGCCGGTCGCTGTCTCTTGATCTTGGGTACGGTTGTAGATCACATTGTCTGGATGAGACTTAGGGCTGAATAGACACTAGCGGATGAAGGGGGTGGGTGAAGATGCCTTGGAAGTGGATGCCGGCTTCCGGGTGCTTCTCTGTTATCTCCCGCAGCGGTTGCCAGGTTTCTCGTTCCCATTTGGCTTGGTTGCTACCGGCTGCGCCCATTCTACACTTTGTCAGCATTGTAGTAGAGCCACGAGGTGCGAAAGGGGGACGCGTACGGAGAGTAGTTGGCACCGGCCCAGGGAGACGCATACTCGATGTCATAGTCTCCGGGCATGTGTTTGGCGGCCACGGTGATGGAGTTGGTCGGGTCTTGCGATAGCAGCAAGGCGGTGGTGAGTCCGGAGACGCCTGCTCTGAGATGGCATCATCAGCATAAATCTTCCAGTATGGTCCGAGCAACACACCCAACGATCACAATAGTGTTTGTTGCCATGGTCTTCGTTCGTGTTGGATGATTCGTGTGTGTTGACAACCGATGACGGATGGAGATAAGCCGCGCGGGAGCCTGGAGATGGAGATTGATCGCGAAGGGCACGTGATGCTGCTCCTGGATAAGATAGTCAGATAAGATAGCGCGATAAGATACACCGATAAGACCACGTGATGCGGAATACTCTCTTGGCTGGCCTTATCTCACCACCATCTCTCTCTGCGTACGGACTTTGATCAACGAAATCAAGAAGTTGAATAGCTTCATTTCCTCGCTGCCTTGATTTACATTAGTGGAAAGTCTCTCCCGCCACCACCCTTTATCTGGAAACAATCGCCACGACCACAACACAAAGACTTACCCACTGATCTACACGAAAGTATCATCATCCACCTCCTTTTCCTCCATTATCGCCATTATCTCCATCATCGTCTCCATCATCCCCATTTCCGTTCCCATCCCCGGGACCGTGGATGATGTCCGCCGCGATCTTCTCCGCCAACATGTCTAGAGAATTTATCAGCTAGGACCCAGCACATCCTCTCAACCTCAACACCCCCTTCGACTCCCAGAGTCTCACACACAAGGGAAAGAAAACAAACTCACAACAAGTGGCCTGCGGATGCCCCGGCGGCAAGATAGCGAACGCGCTCGCATCCACAACCCGCAACCCGGTCACCCCAAACACGCGGGCCCGATGATCCACCACCGCCATGCTGTCGTTCCGGGCCCCCATCTTGCACGTGCACGCTGCGTGATAGATGGTCATGACCGTCTGCCGGATCGCCGCCAGGATCTCCTCGTCCGTCTGCACCTTCGGCCCCGGGAAGTACTCCTCCCCGATCACGATGGGCGCCATCGCCGCGCTGTGCCACGCCTCCCGCATCCGGCGGTAGATCGCCACCACCATCTGCGCGTCCGCCTCCGTCGACAGCCAGTTCGGCTGCACGATGGGGAGAATGTCCGTGTCGTTCGACGCGAGCGTCACCGTCCCGCGCGAGCTGGGCGCCACCAGCGACCCGATCATCGACGCGTACATGAACCCGTCTTTCGGTTGGTTGAGCAGCGGATCCGCCAGGTCGCCTAGGTAGATGTGGAAGGAAATGTACTATCCTCACCTCCCAAGGCGAGGGAGGGGAGTTCGGGTTAGTAGTGGTAAATGCTGAGGGATCTTGGATGGGGATGTGCACCTCTGCTTCCGGCCAGCTGGGTGGAAACCATGACAGGTTGCCCAGTGTATCAGCGGAGAACCGCTGGCGCAGGGGATCCGGGATCTTCTCCCAGGCTAGGTAATCGGCCGATGGGTTGCTGAAGAGGCCCCGCCGCAGGGAGAAATACAAGGCGAGTTGCTCGGCCGCAAAGGCGGGGTTGTTGGCGATGTTGGTGCCGGTGATTAGTCTCACACGGTATGACGGACCAAACAGGAGATGCTCCCACATGTTCTGGCCAACTCCGGGGAGATCGACGAGCTGCGGGATGTTGTGTTGAGTTAGGGCTTCCGCGGGCCCGATGCCGGAGACCATCAGCAGCTGCGGGCTCTGGAAAGCCCCCGCCGAGACAATCACCTCCCGGCTGGCGTGCAGGGTGTACGTTGACGTCCCGGTGCGCACTTCCACCCCGCTGGCCTTTCGGTCGGCGTCGAACAGTATCCGCTTTCCCATCGTGGTTTTGTATAGAGTGAGGGTTGCCAGACGGTCATTGTTCGCTGCTGCGCTCATGAATGCAGCTTCAGAGCTGCTCCGTGTTCGATCCGATGGGCGGACGGTGAAGGGACACCATTGCGCGCCTAGTAAGTGTCCACTGCTGAAGTCCGGTGTCTCGTTGATGCCAATTGCCTGCATTCCGCCAACCATCCAGCTGGAGAACGGGATGCTGTCGATTGGGTAGGATACTTGGAGTGGCTCCCCGGCTGGAGAATATGCGGCCGGGTTGTATTGCGCGGAAGCGTTGGGGGGCCGAAGCTCGTTCTGAGGGGGGTAGAAGGTGGGTGTTCGTTGGTAAAATGGGAGCACCCGATCAAACGTGTAGCTTTCGTCTTGCACGAGGTCCGCCCATCGTTGCATGGAGCCCTTATCAGGCCTGCGATGTGTTAGCACTACAGGGCTCGATGTTGTGGATACTCTCGGACGGAAACCTCTGGTATATCATTACGTTGCATACTGAGCTAGACGCGGTCAGTGTCATGGTGCCAGGCATTCCGAATAGATAATCAGAGAACAGAGACTCCTCTTACCAACCCCCAAAGGTCTTATGCCTGGCATAATGTACTTTCCGATAATTCGCGCCCGGAATTGGCGCGGTGATGAAGTTCCAATCAACGGGAGTGGTTGAAGTTGGACTCGATCCCAGGCCGATAATCACGGCGCCTGGAATCTTCGCCACTGGCCAAACCACCTCATAGAAGTCACCGGCCTCAATGAGAGCCACGCTGAACTTTTGCTCGGCCAGCCGGGCAGCCAGCGTGAAGCCCGACGTCCCCGCGCCCACGACGACGTAGTCGAAACTCGCATCGCTACCGAAAAGTCCTTCTCTCAGATTATGCGATTTGGTTTCTGATCCGTAATACCCTGCAACTACGAGCAGTAAAATGGCTAGATGGGCTTTGAGCGAGAGCATGACGACGATGCAGGATGTCGACTCTGTGTGCCTCTGCGAAGGATCCGCGGAGTTGATTATGGACTCTCACGCGTAGTACCCTGCGTAGTAGGAGAACAGATGATTTATAATACATTGTACGCAGCCATTGCCTGGAGACAGTGCGATTGCCCACTGCTACTGTGGCCGGCTATTTTTCGAAGACCCAATGGCATATGATACCCTCGGGACATTCCACGCTGTGCGACAGCCACAGCGCTGGTGAGACGACAGCACATGCTTGATCAGTATAGAGCATCAAAGTTGCACTGGAGGCCGGGTTGTCTCAATAAAATTTGAAAGAACATGCCCTTCATCAGCAACTTCTATTTGACTTAGCAAGTCCTTCTTGATCGTCACATCCTCTTCTCCCTTTGAACGTATCATCAATGTGATGGAGATTTATCCAGTTTTTAAAGATGTCATAACATTCGAAAGGCACTATTCGGTTGGCATTAGAGTACAGAAGTATAAGGAGTACCTGGGTAGCAATCGTCTCTATGGTGTACAATCACGATATCTTCGGTAATATCGTCACGGCGGACGACCCGTCACTAACCAGAATGTTTACCATGCTGCCCATTCTGCCATTTCCTTTCGATGCGGACTTCCAATATTCCTAATCCATCACCGCAACAGCCACCTTCAGCAGATTTTCCTCCCCAACGGCATTCTGAGTATACCGAGCATTGAACTTCAGAATCTGCTTGATCTTGTTGAAGCTCACCACATCCAACGGAAGCGGCTTGGCGCTGATATACCAGCTCACGCCCTCGGTGCACGGCGGCGTTGTGAGGGAGCCGGTGTATTTGTAAATCGCGTGGCTCTTGAGAAGCGCAGTCAGATATGTGAAGTCGAGCGATCCAGTTTCCGTAGACCTTCCGGGAGTATCTATGTCCTCGAGATGATGGAAGATGGACTCGAAGGGGGGGACGGGTTTGTCAGTTGAGGAGAGCTGGAAGAGGAACGCTACCACTGCTATATTGGTTTCTAGCAATGTGAGACCATGTTCGAAGACAGTCAATGTTGAATATTGGGTTCGGTTGTAGCTTACCATGGTCCTTGAAGACGAAGTGCACCTCCAGAGGGTAGTATTCCTGCTCGACGCGATGCTCGCTCGGGGTGTGGAAGTGGAACTGAGCCAGCTGGTACTGATAGTCCTTGTTAGTAGTGAGAGTGCCCCGCGCCAGTATGACCTCGAGGCCTGAACCCAGGTTCAAAAGCTTGGCTTCCTCAGCGGCTGGGATATCGAACACAAGACTGCCGAATTCGACGTAGTCAACCTCCTCTGTGAGGATGTCGATCGGGGATTGATGCTTTCCTTGAGAGCAGGCAACGTTAGTCTTGTTCAGACGGTCCCAGTTTAACGGTCGCCCCAACTCAGTGTAGTTGAAGGGGTTGATGGTGGTCTGGTTGCTGACAGCGCGAGGGAACAAGAAGGTGTCACTGATGCAAGAGGAAGACGCTGTCATCGCCAGCAGGAGAAGGGTGAGGAGCTTCATGGTGACTGCCTTGAAGGTGAACGTGGTAGAGTTGCATGATCAAGGCTGCGTGAGATCGAAGCTCTTTATAATCGGATGGCCATCTGGAAGAACCGTGCTTCCGGATTGGTGAGTGAATGTATGTAGTTCTTTTTCTTACTTTAGATGTCCTGTTCGGTCAAATGCAGATAAGTGCATGTACGCCCCCTCTAACTTGAACCTGCCAGGTCTGTGTAATGACGACATCCTTTGGCAGAGGTATCACCCTACAAATTGCCTTGAAATATATTCTTTAGCTGAGGTAAGAATACGTGTTTATGAATTTGGATCAAGGACTCCGCGAAGAGGTTATGACCAGCAAACTCCCCAATCCCACACCATCCTCTATACCGAAATAATGACAGATCTTCCCAAGTGACCACGTGCTCAATCATCCATAGTGAGATCTATCAACTCCGCCTCCTCCGCCTTCCTTTTCTTTCCCGCTTGGGGGCGCACTTTCAACAAGCCACTAGTATTCTGAGATCGCCCCGAAGAGGTATGACTTGGGAGCGAGATGCCGCAGAGTGCCCTGGGGTATCCAGCGCGCGCATGCGCACGATATCGTTGTAGTCGTCCGGCAACATAGTCGCAAGATGCCCCTGGTTGAATCTCTGGATTTGCCTACTCGCCTCGGCCCTTCTCTGCCTCCATCCATCCTCAACATTCCCCACATAAACGAAGGTCTTAGTCACCAACAGAATAGGGTTAGTCCGCGAATACTCTCTAATCTAATAGGTGCAGCCAAAGCATGCCTCGTCGAGTATCTGACGGAGGTGCATTCGACCGAATCTGCCCGTGCAGCACCGCCAGACTTGACTGACGGGGTCGCGAAGGAACTGGTTGAGCTCGGCGCATTCTTCGCAACAGGCTTGCACCTCGGGACGGACGAGGTTACCGGTGTCCGGTCTGGGTTTCGGACCGACGTAGGCGTCAATGTAGGCGCGCAGGAGAACAGCCAGCATCCGGCTGAACCCGGAGAGGGATGGGTAATCGGCGTTTTCCTCGTAGAATGGGAGGGAAGAGTGGAGGAAAGGGAGGTAGAAGGAATGAAATGTGGATCGATCTATGAGGGGGGCTCCAGCGGCGATCCTTCAGCAGAGGGTCTCGGCCAGATCATTGTCAAGGCTATGGCGTATCACTGCTTCGCCAAACGCCTCCATCAGCGCCGTTTCTTGCCGTCTGACGGGGCCAGGCTTTTGGTCTGTTTGTGAAAGCTTATTATCCTAGAGTTGTTCATTGCAAGCCAGCGCACCAAATGACTCTGTTATGTCGGAATACTTTGGGTTTCCACCAACGTTGAAGGTAGAGGTGTCCAGTCGGTTGAGCAGCCCACGGGCAATCTCCCTGAAGAATTCGATCCCTTCTTCCTTGGGAAGCTTGCCCGCTATCAACGTGATGTCAAGATAGCATAGGAAGCTTATGGCGAAGAATGGACCTTTGTTCCTCCTTTCGGCCAAGGAAGCAAGACTAGTCACCCGTCAACGCTAGGCTGAGGAAGAAGATGGGAGAACAAACCGAGCCAAAATGTACGAGACATCATGATATTTGATGGCCATTTCCATTATGGCAATACCATCATCTTGCGTCGGCTCCAGCTCCAACTGCCATAACACCTCTAGCATTTGATCGTGGACCCTCTCCACCCAAATCCGAGCCTCGTCTAACAAGGGCTCGTTGGAAGGAAACAGGTGCAGCACTGCGAGAAGTCTCTCCGTAAAGTCTGGGTAGGCGAGGACCGCAGAACGCAACCTGCTGCTTGTTAGACGGGACAAACCTTAAAATCGAATGGAGCAGTACCCGTCTTGAAGTTCAGTGAAGGAGCTTTCTTCTGAAAAAAAGAAACTGCTCTCGAGCCCATTTGAAGAAATCCGTTGATAGCTTGCCCTTGTGGCGCCTGGCGACGCCCTCAAAGAAGGCAGAATTGTGAACTCCGAAGGCGGCTTTTATAACCTGCAGTATTGTTGTGTCGGAGAAGGTCCCCTTGCTGGTGTACGACAGCCGTGATTTCTTATTGTCCATTCTCCAAACCACAGACACGAGCTTTTTCAAGGTCTTGACCAGTGCAGGGCCAACATCTGCGGTTAAGACATGTTTTGCATAGTAGCCGATGATTGACTCGAGATTCTCCTTATCTTTGCGGTGCAAGGTGCCAAAGCTAGTGTTCAGCTTCTTCTTCAAAGACCCTAGGAGAAACGATGTGTAGGAGAAACGATGTGCTCGAACGTTGAGCTACCACTGCCACCGCCTGTTGCTACAATTAGTATGGCACTTCCACGTTTATGCTGAGAGAACCTACCGTCATTTGATACCAATGGGTCGCTTCCAGGCCCCATGCGAAGGTTTATCAGCACTTCCAATTGTGGTGAGAGGGAAAAAAAGTTGATGTCAGCGCACCCAATTTCCTGGATAGCTTCTGTAGTCCTCGTATGCCGGAATGTCGCCGAAGCAGTCTTTCTGGAGAACACCTTTCGCATCCAGCTGCATTTCTTGAAATACCTAATTGCTGTTTAGGTCGACCAAGGATTTCACCATATGTGTCCTGCTCAGAACGTCACGGAGCGGATGATAATTGGCGTTATGCTTGCTAAGGAGTCGGTTGCGCGAAGTCAAAGAACGAGGGCCCAGAAACTCACAGTTTTCCCACTCTTCCCTTTGTAGCACGCCGAGGAATATATCCACTGGAAGCCTGGTGGAGATTTCACACAGCGCCTGAACGCAAGCCAGGTCCCGGAATTCCTAGGCCTTGAGGGAGATGCTGACATCCGTGTATCGGTGATCGAGCTGGTACCAGAAGTGGCCCTGTAGGCCGTTGTCTGAGACTTGTTTGAGCCAGCGCGCGATAGCGCTGTAGAGTGGCAAGGTATCTGGCTGCCGAAGAGCTCTCGGAAGACGCGTCTCCGAAGTATCTATGGTGAGATTGTAGGTAAGAACCCACCGATACCCGGAGGTGACAAGAAGCACTTCATGCACGAGGCCTGCATTCCAGCATCCATAGGAGCACTCCTGACTGGATAGTTTGACTGATGTCGTGAATCCGCGATGTCTCACGGTTACCGCACCTCCCTCATAGGAAGATGGCAGACCAATAACCAGGTGGCAACCACGTCAGGTGCATTCTCGGTACTGCAAGACACGGATAGTCTGTAAGAATAGGAGCAGGAGTGGTTGTTCGGTCATTCTCTGACTTACTCGGCGTGAGCCTTTAGAATGGCGGCCTCTTCATCGATCAGCATCTTGTACAACTCGGCATGAACGGTCAAATCCAGGCCCAGTTCCTGCGAGATACCAGCTGCCACTGACTTGAGGAAAGTATTCCAGTTGGAATCGCGGAGTTCAAATTGGTCCGGATTCAACTCCCACCTGTTCCGCACGGAGGTATCGACGATGGTTTCGCTTCCTTCACGATAGGGAGCCTGGTGCGCCTTTTTGATTATTCGCCGCGCTTGGGATTCCTCCAAGGGCAGGCAGATCGGGCCGACATCATGGACATACACTCCTGGATTGACGAAGCCTATCTTGCCAAAGGAAGCAAAAGCTGCAGTTGTTCAATACCATCCAAAGCAGTCAGCATCCGGCGGGGACAACACAAAGTTGAATGTATCCAGATGCAAAATGGACCTATCACTCGGTGGCACACTGTATTGTATCTGTATCATGGATCCTCTCACCGCCTGCCCAGATGACATCCCCTTTGGATTGCAGTACAGAGTGCATGTTATTGATTTATGAGCGTAAAGCATGATATGATTCTTCAACAGAGTTTTACAGGTACATACGACCACAGGGTGTGGAAAACAGGGCTTCCCGTCCGCTCAGCCGTACTTAAGCCACACGCCGGGAGGTTAGTAGTTGGGTGGGTGACCACCAGCGAATCCCTTCTGTTGTATGTCGGTGCTCACCTGTTTTTGCCATTCGTTGGGACATCGGCCCTTGCCGCTTTACTCTTCAGCCCCTTCAGGGCCTTCACCCGAACGCCCTGAAGGCCCCCTGAAGCGCTGACGTGGCCCTTTCCCTCCCTCCCACCCTCCTTCCTGTTCGTGTCCAGTCCCAATTTTTGATGGCCTGAACTGATCCTAATCGGAGCTACCCACGGAAAATAAAATCACCGTGGCCACTTCACCCGTCCAGTCTGGTCTTGGCTATCTCTTCTCCAAGGGACGTCGTGAATATTCTGACCAAAGAAGACCCATTACGGCCCGTGCCTTGCGGATGCCATCCAGCGCTAGGGATAACCTACCTTGGCCACTTGCCGGTTTCACTCTCATTTCAACTCGATGTAATCCCACCTGAGAATGACAGAGGCCAGCCAATTTTGGTCAGTGGTTGGGTCAGGCACAACGTACCGCAACAGGTTCTCGCCAGTAGGAGTCGCACTTTGAAGGCCCTGAGATGTGGGCACTTGCATACAGAACCCTCGTCGACCAATAATAGGTTACCATGTGCTGTGATAGTGTTCGAGGCTGAGTGTTGGCCAATCATTTACCGCGTCCAAAATAGCGGTAATAGCAACGATACATCGGTGGTCTCAGTATCTGTAAGCGCCCGAGGGGAAGCATGCCTACGCTCTTCGATATACCATTACTTGCGAGCGGCAGCACGCTATTAGCTATATTAACTATTCAAGAATCGCATTTCACTTTCATTTCCTACCATTGGACGAAACTCAAGGCAGAGCAGCTAACGAGCATGACGTGGCGATTCAGCCTCATCCAAAGATAAAAATATTTGCAACCTTCTTGGCCCCATTTAACTCGCTTAAGACGCAATAATTTTCACTTCGAAAGTATTCGATTCATACTGCAAAATGGCAGAAGCTATTGGACTTGCGTCCGCTGGATTCGAGCACACTGCATCATTTGATCCGAGACTTGCTAAGTACAAGCATAGTTGGAGGAAGGTTTCTCACGGACACTCATGCTTGTGCTATTTACTCATTAAAGGGTCACCTAAAACTTGTCTCGCCGATGCTCTTGCAGACGGCTCAAAACACAATAACCTTCCCATGATTTGCCCCCAGCCTCGCTATATCCCCTCTTGTGAGGTCGGGACTTTGCAGGCCAGCAAAGTATACTTCTTCCATATATCGGGAGGAGGTAGGGGCACGGCGAGCGATGGCTGAATCGAGATTAATAGTCGTACCTGGCGAGAATAGTCATAACAGGGACGACGCATTATAGTAGCTTTAGTAAGTCGGACGACAACACTAAAAGAATAGAGAGAAGTCGGCGAGCAGCGCGTAAGGACGGCAGAGAAGCAACGCGTGGTAGTACGTTATAGGCCGTCAATATAAAAACGGCGTCCATAAGTTACATATAGAGCAATCATCGAGGCCAAAGACACGGATAGGTGCAGAAAAAGCCCTAGAACCCTAAACTTTAAAGAGAAACCAGACCTAAAACGGTAATCGCGTAGCGAATGAGAAGCGCGCGTGGCGGAAGGGTTCCAATGTACAGAAGCCTCCTCTTTTTGCGGACGCGCACGTACATGCACGTTGATTAGTTCCCTTTCTCTCACTTCGTTCGTTTCAGGGCATGGTAAAACTAGTGACGCGCGCTGTCGCACGCTGTGGCCCTGAAACGAAATAAGTACGAAAGTTGAACCGTAAGTTAAATGATAATATGGAAGTCGAACGATTAATTTTGATAACGCACCGGAAAGGTACGAATAAATGTCCGCTGGGACCAGCCAGTTATAATATACATATCGAGTAACGTAGTAAATTGTGGCGTGGGTGTGATGATTGAACGAGTATGCACGTAAAAATATATCCACGAAGTCAAAATGAATTCAGAAGAATGAAATCCTTATCATCTATCTGGTGTATATTAGAGTTAGGCACAAGTTTCGCGCATGAGGAAAAGCCTAAAGCGGGATCTATTTAACGAAAGAGCCCAGAGATAGGAAAGAGTAAATCCGAAATACGCTGATCCAATTTAGCACCACCGCTCTTCTTGTTGGACAGAATAACATTAGACTGGTAATGACAATAACTCTTCCAAGGACGTACTGTAATATGTATGTAATGACACATCGAATCCCATAGAACCCTGTGGCAGATCTGGCGATCTCCAGGTTCGTGTGCTCGTTTCCTCCCCTCGGCTGCTCTTACCTTCCTAAGCTCACACACGAAGAGCTTTGAAGTCGCTCGTCAACGCATCAGTCGGTATTTGCCTCTCATCGAAGGATCGAATCCTTGAAATTGTAGCATCCAATGTTGGAAAGGATCTAGCTGGGCTTTGAAAGGGGTCGACTTTCCCCTCGCGAGGCAAGGGATCAATCACCTAGGAGAGAAATATGATACAATGACACTGCATGCCACTCCGTGTTTCTACAAGGGCAAGTGACTTTTTATTGCACTTGAAAATCAACCATCATGTGATTGAGATGTAGATACGAAAAGGAACTAAAAGCAAATCTCGTATGGGGCATGAACGTAATTTCTTGCGTCACAGTTTTACGACTTTATATAAATTAATGTAAATAGGAAAGTGGGTGGAGGTAAGTCAATGTAAGAGGAAACGATTATTCAACAGACTAAGTCGCATAGTAAGAAGTTTCTTAATTCAAATTTTCCGAAAAAGTGAATATCCAATTCTCTCAACCGCAACCCCACCAATCTGATTCCATGACGACTGTTGGTGGCTGCAAACGATGTGCTCAAATGTCCACGACGTCGCGATGACCCATAGCTCCAGGTTCAATAGTCAGATCCACCAATAAATCAAAGCATGATATGAGGACGGGGATGCAAATAGGCCAATAGGTAATTGTTCCAATGAAGTAATTTTGCAATTGCCACAAATCAGCACCAGTCGTTGCCTCGTCATATGTCCTCGCGCTGAGAACACTATAAGAAACCTTGTCTGCCCAAGAACCGATTCTACATGCACATTGGATGCAGCAGTCGTCAGTCAATGCCCATAAGCAGGCTCGGCGAATACCTGCGGCCAGGCCTGCAGCTCTGTCGAGCGTGACAATCTCTGGCAAACCAGGAATGGCGCGAACTTCCTCCAACTCTGGACTTCGCATCACAGCGTCGAATCTGACTTTGCAATTTTTGCAAAGTTCGGGAATCGGTACACCAGGAGTAGAAAATAGTTCAGTCGTTTTGGAAGGGATAAAGTACTTGACGGTGTACCGCTTTCGAAGGTCTTGCAGACCAGATTGCATTGCCCTGGCCCACACGTCGTCCGCGTCTTCTTCAAGAGTGCAGTCTCTGAGCACGTAATCACCGTGAATCAATTCCAGTAGAGCTTTTGCTTCGATGGCCTTGGACTGTTGTAATTGGCGCATGTACTTGACGATTCGCTCCCACGACCGATATCGAGTGTTGAATGTGTCGAATGTGCCAGTGATCATGTCGGATGCGTAGCCGAAGATCATTCTTTCTTCGGGCTTAGATTCAAATCTATCAAGCATATATTCGCCGATCTTTTCATAAAGCCCGATCGCCATGACAGCATGTATTCCGTACTGTGCCACACCGGCCGCTTCGGCGTATCTGGCGAAAGTTCAGTATCGATTAGCAGGCCCGACAGCATGAATCGTAAACTTACTGGGGTGATGTCAGTCTATTCGAACAACCTTGATCATAAATAACATCGTAAAGACCAAACATGATCATGGCAGCAAACATGCCTAAACGGCTGGCGTCATAGTCTTTCGGTTTTGGATTGTGTTGGAACGGGGATATGGCAGCACAGTCGGCGACCAAAAGTGAGACCCAATCTCTGGGAGGTACCTGCTCTGGCCCTGGAATAAAGGATCCTTGGTTTTTGTCTGCCCAGGTCTGCTGAATGCTGCGTGCGCGAACTTGGACATCATAACTGATCATAGCAGCGATAGCCACCGACTGCATTTCAGTTCCTGGCATACAAGCGTGCTTAGAAGCGGTGTCGAGGCCGTTCTGGAAACCCTGAGCATTGTGTTCACCAAAATCTAGATCATAGTCCACCCAGTTCATGGCTAAGAGTGTCGTGGCAATCCCGACATGTTCAGGAAGTACAGCGCCCACTTGTATACCAAGCCACCCCAGAGATATGCATGGACTGACTCCTTTGGTATAACCAGGATCATTCCAACGCGGTCGTTGAAGAACTTCTGCAAATTCTTGACTTTCTCTCCACGCTTGGCCACCGGCAGTTTTGGGGCCTAGACGGTCCAGCGAGTCGTTCTCGGGTGATGCAACGATTGTCATGCGAACATCAATTACTGGTCGTTTTCGACGAGCGACACGAAGCTGGGGGTACCAGTACATCCCAGTTTTCACATCCGCCATAAGCCTCGGAGTCATTCCCATCTCCGGAGCCGCCTCAGCAAGGCAACAGTAAGCCTCCATCCATCCAAACACGGACCAAACATAGCGTATCAAGGCAGAAAGGCACTTGTTTCGATCCGCAGTTTCGAAATCACTTGTATCCACAATGCCACCGCTGTATTTTTGGATTGCGGTGTCAAGTGTTTTTGACTGGCAAAGTTCCATATCCGAAGCATGGAACGCTCGCGTAAGGACATCCAATCCTTTTCCCCCTTCACCAAAAGCGTACTTTTGGTCTTGGATACTTAAATCCTTAGCTCTAATTCGACTCGCCAAGTCCACCTTGCTCAACCGGAGAGGGTTTTCACTGGAGCCGATCGCCATGGATGATTCGTTCGAATTGTAATCGCGTTTTGAGAATGATTCCTAGGTTCTCAACAGGTTTGAGGGTTATGGGATGAAATTTAGAATCACGGATTAGACCCGGTCAAACAGAAATTCGTAGACGAGGAAGCTACTATAGTTGCTACATGGAGGTGCATATTTATAACCAACATGCGGACTACTTCGAGTGTTGAGGTACTATCGAGCTTCAGCTAAGCCACCCACAACAACCGCGATATCGCTCATGTGACATACCAATCAATGAGCGTGTGCCTCTGCCGAAGGGAAACTCCTGCTGCGGTACCACGCAGCATAAACTGAAATGATTGAAGCATGATTGAAGCATGCTGGGTGAATATCTTCTAAGGTTACGTTACGGAGTACATTGGGTACTAACATGTGACTGAATTCCCTAGCATAGTCGTGATATAGATCGGGTCTGAAAGTAAATTAATGTGCCCCTTGCTCAAATTAGCGGTGTCTGTATCTGGAAATATTTGCCTCTTTGAATAAACTGATGCGCAAAGGGGCTGGGCTCCCAACTATTTCAATTCGACTGGACTCCTTGCGTTAGCGGTGAGTTCTTGCATGTTTGCTTCTTTGGTCGATCTAATGACTCAGAGTCCTGGCCCACGCCTCCTGCATAGTGTTACACTAAGGCCTAATCTATCTCAATATTATGCAACTTCTAGCGGTGTATAGAACTATGCACCACATAGCTAGCAAATAATTCACGGTATCACCTAATGCTCAAATCGGTGTTGAAAAGGCCAGCTTTGGAGCACAACAGATATAATAGATATAGGCACTGTGACCTGGGTAGGGATATGCTCAAAATACATTTCTGGTTTCCTTACGTGGGTAACGGAGAGACACTAAGCGGATAATACGAAATGCTTTGCTGGAAGGAAGAGCAGGGGCCGTGATCAATTATTATTTTTCCTTTTCTTCTTTCCCGAGAAAAAAAATAGATTACGCAGCGTTACAATAAAATACAGCTATTTATATTTATGTATGAACGCTGATTTTAGAGAAGGGGCCGGGGGTATAAACTGATTGCGGGGCCTGATACTGTACATAGATATTCCATTAATCCTCTAAAAAGGCCTTCCGCTTGGCTTTGGGTCCTTGATTCTTTTGGTCTAGAGACATTAAACCAAAAAGCTCCAATATATTCCTGTTCTGCCCTCCCTGCGAAAATGATTAGGTCTGGTGACGGAGAGACCCTTACGCATATAAACATAGTGCTTACGGCCGGCGTTATTGTCAGTACCCTCAACAAGCCCAACCTTAATATTTTCTAAACCACGACTAGGTGTTGATTTACTCAAGCATTATATCTATTTATAATGTTGTTTTTCATCCACTTCGGAAAATACCTGGCCCTTTCCTCAACCGTATATCCAAACTTCCGTGGCTCCTCAGCTGGATTTCCGGGTCGTTCCATCGCTCGCTACTGCAACTACATGAAGAATATGGTCCGGTCGTAAGGACGGCTCCGAATGAAGTTTCCTTTATTAGTGATGCTGCTCATCAACAAATATACAGCACTGAGTCCATCATTCGTGACCCTGAACGATTCGCCAAGTTCATCAAGGGCGAACAAGAGATTATCAATTATGACCACGAAAAAGATCACAGACGGTTTCGAAAGGCATTTCACCAGTCGCTCAATGGTACTCCATTACTAGCTCATGAATCAGTCATTCGGGAAAATTGTTCTATATTTCGTACGAAGGTCGAGAAATATGTCCAGGAAAATGACGGCAGGGTCGATATCACAAAGCTTTACAGCTGGCTAGCCTTCGACATTGCGGGCGACCTCATATGGCGAGAGCCATTCGACTGCCTGAAAAACATGAAGAGCCACCCATGGCTCGCTGCTATAGAGTTAGCTAGCATCGGGACTTACGTTCTTCTGGTGGGAATCTCTCCATTGTTGCAGAAAACAATCTGGCCTTTCATCCCGAAAAGAGTTCTCGATTATCCTCGGGCTATCGTCCAAGAGAAGAGTAAGACCAATTTAGCGTCAAAAGCACACGAAACCGAGAGTGCTTTCTCGTTCGCTTATAGACGGGGTATCTTGTCGCCAGAAGAAATGGAAGCGAACCTGATCGTTCTCGTTACCGCCAGCAGTGAAACCATTCATTCTGCGCTCTTGGCTGCAACCGGTTTTCTGGGGCGATACAAAGCCTGTGGTCGCAAAGCAAGAGAAGAAGTTCGAGCCGCCTTTACTCGTGAAGAAGACATAGTCCACCCTGCGGTTACAGAGCTACCTTATCTCAATGCAGTTATGCTTGAGACTTTCCGACTATGCCCTGCTCAACCGACTTCAGGCCCTAGAAGGGTTGTCAGCGACTCGGTTACTATCGAAGGAGAATACATACCAAAAGGCGTAAGTTGTTTCTTGATTGCCTCCGTATCGTGATAATCACACTAATCGAAACAGACTATTCTTCGAACACCTCAGTACTGTGCTGGGAGATATTCTCAATACTTCCGGGATCCACATGGGTTCCATCCGGAGCGATGGCTCAATAATCCGTTATTTACTTCGGATCAGCTAAATGTCGTTCGTCCATTTCTAAGTGGTAGACAAAGCTGTCCAGGTAAACAAGTTGCTGAGATGGAGTTGGCGCACATTCTTGCCAGAATGCTTTGGGCTTTTGATTGGGAAGTCGAAGGGGAAAGCTGGAATATCAGCACCTGGAAGTCCAACATCGTTTGGGACAAACCATCAGTGAATATAAAACTGATTCCACAGAGGCGAGACTAAACCTATGGCATTTTGGTCTAAGACCTTTGTCATATTCTTCTCTATCCGCTGTTGCAATCCTGTCGAAGCCGTTGTTCCCTTCCTGACATGTTGTGGTTTTTCTGCGCTCTCTTCCAGATGTTGAGAGGGCTTTGAAACGGCCACTCTTAACTGGTAGCTTCCGGTTTCTGGATATTAACATACCTTTTATTTTCGGGTCCTATTGAGTGGCTTGTGGATTTCGCCAGAAATACGCGCTCAATAAGCTAGTCACTTAAACGGATGGAACATCAATGTGGGTCTCTGTAGGTGATAATAGCTCTCAGTTATTTTACGCTCGTATATTATCACGTGACGGGAGTGTACGAATCTGTCGCAGTAGAACCACCAGTGGGTACTCGGAGGAAGGAAATACTGTAAGCCCGCGAGTATTAGTCATTGTTTTTGCCCACCAAATTGCCAGCTAGGGGCTTCTTTGCAATTCAGACTTATTGAACTCCAATTGGTGCACAGTATGATTGACTAAGCAGTATATGCGTTAACGTAATCGGTAAGCCACCCGCCATGGTAAGCCACCCGCCACCCGCGCCCACCAAAACAGCCTTCTATAAAAAGATGAAGCTTTTATATAATATATATTAATAAAATAACATGTTTATTTAATATTTTAATATATAAGATATTTTATTTTTATATATCTAACTATATTATACTTGCTGTAGTAAGATAGTATCCGGCGGTAAGATTATTTCTTACCGGTAGCTGATTTTTTAAGCTGATTTCTACCAACTTAATTAGTTTTATAAATTTTTTTAAATATATTTTTAGTTTTGTTAACGATAAGGCTATTTAAACCGGCTATTTAATAATAAGATTTTTTATTTTTAGTATTTTATTTTTTTAATTTAGCTTATAGTTTATTAACTTTCTGCTTAAATAAAGTAATCCGGTTAAAGACGATTTTATATTTTTTTATAATATAAAATAATATTATTTTTATTTATAAGAACAGGCTAATTATATATTTATAAAAAAGTTTTTTAATTATAGTTTTATATTTTTATAATTATTTTATATTTTTAGATATTTTTAGTATAGTTAATATAGTAGTAATATTACTAGTTAAAATAGACTTATAAAGCTGTATAATTAGTCTATTAAATATTTTATTTAGTTAAAATAAAACTAACTTTAAAATCTTAAAAATATTATAAATAGTTAATTTTTTAAAAATAAAAAAATATGCTTTTAAGTATATATTTAAAAAAATTAATTTTATTAATATAGTAAATATTCTAGTAGATTAGCTATTTTATTAAGTTTTTATATACTTATTTTAATAGTATAAAATAAATAATATTAAGTAGTTAATAAAAATATAAAAAATATATAGATATGTAAATAGAAATAATACTATTTTAACTATATATATTATTAAAATTAGTAGTTAAATAAAAGTTATATCTATTAAAAATTAAAAAGCTATATTATCTAATTTATTAGTTTTTAGTAAAAAAAATAAAGTATTTATAAAGCTAATATAAACTAATATTATTAAAAGTCTAACTATTTAATAATAAATTAATATACTAATTAGATAAAAAAAATTTTAATATTATATTTTTATATAAACTTTATTTTTAAAAATTAAGTATAGTAATAATACTATACTAGCTGTATTTATATATTTAATTAAAATTATTTATTTTTAATTTTCTGACTATATAAAAAATAGTTTATTTATATAGTTAGACTGTATAATTATACAGACTATAACTACTATTTCTATAGTAAAGCCGGTTTTATTAAAATTTTATATATTTTAATTAAAAATATTATATTTTTTTTAGTAGTTTTAATATAGTTAAACTACTTAATTAAAAACTTTAGATTTTTGTATTTTATATATTGGATATAATATTTTTAAAAAAATTAATTCTTTAATTTTAGAGTATATTTAATAAAGTTATATATTTATTTTTTATTTATAAAAATTATAAAATTTAAGTCTTATTTTTGCAGTAGATCTATGATTTGTTACAAAAGTATTTTATTTTAATGTACTTTCTTTTGTCTTCTAAAATCTCTTTTCAGAAAGGGGGTCTGCGGTTAATCCAATTTCTATGCCAAGAACTTTCGTCACCTTATTGCTTACTACAAACTCCTAGTTGCCAGGTCTGTTCGTAGAGGCACTCCTATCAATCTCCATGATAAAAGAATATGGATTTGTTATGGTGTGGCGCCGGAAGCCTGGTAAGAAACCGCCTTGGTCCTGCACTGGCTCAATAATGGTCGAGCTGTTGTTCGCCAACAAACGACAGAGACCTACTCAGATCATCCGTAACGTCGGTACCAATGGGAAAAAAGCAGGTATGAGGCTGAATGTTTTTCTCGTAGTTGTTGGGGACCTGCCAGAGTGATGCCGTAGTTGTTGGGGACCTGCCAGAGTGATGCCGTGACTCGGGGAGAATGGGTTTGATGCCACATGGCAGATTTGCCAGGAACAGTTGTTCCAAGGTTTGTCTGGTTTGTCCAAGTGTTACCATATATCTCGCTAGAGTCTGGTGCGATGCCTGATCATACTAATCTTCCTAATTATGACTTGGATACCGTGTATGAGACGGGTGTTGTATTCGGTAAGAGCTCTGTATTAGATAGAAGGTATCTTACACATACCCAAAACTTCAATGCGGCCCGCTCAATAAAATAATGACGCTAGCATCTTGGCAGTCAGATTCGGAAAGAACTATAATGTGTTTGTTGGTCAAGCCAATTTCGAGATCCTCTGTAAAGTAGTGCAAAAATTAGTGTAGCAAGATTATATGCAACATACAATAATTTCTCCAGATTGTACTCTGCGGTGGGCTTCAGTCTGCGCCTCGGTCTCAATGTTCTTCTTCGCTTTGCACTCCTTTAAAGCTTCCTTTTGCGCTTTGACCCGGTTTTCTTCTTAGCATTGGGCTTCTTTTGAGCTCCTTCCTGCGCCTTGGTCCGCATTTTCTCTTTCGCTTTGCGCTTCTTTATAGCTTTCTTCTGTACTTTGGTCCTGCTTTTCTTCTTGGCATTGGGCTTCTCTTGAGCTTCTTCCTGCGCCTTGGTCCGCATTCTCTGCTTCGCTTTGCGCTTTTTAAGAGCTTCCTTCTGTACTTTGGTCCTGTTTTTCTTCTTAGCATTGAGCTTCCTTTGAGTTTCTTCCTGGGTCCTGGGCTGAACTGCCTCTGCTGTGCGCTTTTTTTGAGCTTCCTTCTGTGTTGTATCCCAGGCGCTTTTATCAAAGTCGATCTTGTTTCTTTGATAAATTTCCAAGGAATTGTTCCTGCTTGATCTCATTGTCAGAGCAGACCCATCTTTATCATTTGAGTCAGGTCTCAATTGGCAACGCTTGCTAGCTCCGTTTTCTTGTCGCAAGGTTCTGTTAATCACTGTAAAAAGAATACAGGCCGAACTCAAGATTGTAAATCTGACTAATATGACGAGTAATAAAGACCACAGAATAGGTGAAGAAAGGCTGTCCAGGGACACCTACATAGTTTGTAAGCATCAACACGACAAAACAATGATTTCTGCCAAACCTTTGATCTTTCGCTCCCCTCAGTGATCCTCTTACTAAGGATACGCTGTTCTGATTGAGTGATCAGATCTTCTATACGTAGCTTGTCTCCGGAATTTCCAACGGGCCTCCATCTTCTAGAGGTATATGTCGTTCCGAATTGCTTGGTCCATTTGAAAGTTTCGTCATCAGGCCATATTTCGTATGGGCATTTCTCGCCACCCAGAACAGTAGGATGAATATTTATGATCTTTTGAACCGCGCAATGACCAAGACGTCCTTGAATAATTGGCTCTTCTATCAATTGGTAGTTTGAAAGACCAGTGGGATGTAATCGTTGAGGTGGTGGAGATGAAAGCAGTATGACTTTCTCGAATCTAGCGATGTGCCAAGCAAAAATTGCCGAAGCACCATGAATATACCGACTCCATTGATTCTTTGATTTACCTATCCTCGGACATTCTGGATTGTTTTTATCCATCAAAGGGCCCATGGCTGTAGTTAATGTTTGCAGGTTTCTTTTCTCGGCCCATGCTTGGGCGTTGTCGAACGGTATGCCACTCCAAAGAACTTGACCATTGGTGATCCATATTGACTGGAATTGTTCAAATATTCGCACTGCCTCTGGTACAGTCACATACTGGCTGAAGACCTTAGTAAGTGGGACACCAGGAGCTTGTTGGCCAGAAAGCCATTGAGAAATATCGTCAAAATCCATCGTTCTGCTCAGGTAGTTCAGTGGCTGATACGTTTAGTATGGACATTATAAGAATGTCGAAACACCAGAAAAGCTGAATCAGCCCTGTCTCTGGAAGGGGACTGTGTGACAATAAATATAAGATGTCATTGATGCGGGGTAATGTTGACGGACTGGATCTAGGCTCGTGTCATTGTTGGATTACTATCTATTTTGGTTAGATCTAAGAGACTGCATGATTCTTGGTGGGAATATAGGCACTCTATTCATGCCCAGTCAATGCCTAAACAACGTTCGAATTAAGACGCAGTTTCAAAAAGGATCAGTTGGGAAGTACATGTAGCAATGCGGTTCAAAGCTCACGATGGATGAGCATCGGGTCCCGGTTGTACGGTACTTAAGTGAGAAGAGTGCCTCTTGGACGCAAGTACCAGTACAGTGATAAGGTGCAGAGAATGTGTTACTTTTGGTAGTCTGAAACGAGGCTTAATTACTATGCTAGCCCGTGGAACCGAGCTCAAGTATGATCAACACCCGTGAAAAAGCTGAATGACGCACTAGAACATTCCTCAGCTCTCAAACCAAGAAGGATAATGGCAGTGATAAATCCATTTTCACCATTCATTCTGCTCAGCCCAATTCCTTCCACAGCTCTCACTTTACTTCATGTGGTCACGGACTTCTTCATCATCGCCATCAGTAAGTCACGTGAGAATTGTGGAACGGAATCAAGGAGAGTGTCTTGGAAGATAGCATCAGCTGCTTCATCTTTCCGTCTCAACAGAGATAGGTTACGCAAAGTGATGTCCACGGCAAGGTCCCTTAGACCTCTGTCACTTTTGGGCGTTGAATTGTAGATTTCCATGACTGACTGCGGGAACGAAACCGCGTCTAGTCTTTGAGCCATTTCATATTCAACCTTTTTTTTGGCGAGGGCTTTCAATCCATTGATGATGAGTCGGTCCGCGAGGGAGTACATAAGTATATGGAATGAGAGAGGGTCAAGCATAGGAGTGGTATTTCCAGCATCGGTTGGATCAGGATATTGACCTGAGGTCCCCGGAGTCTCCTGCATTGTAGATGTAACCACTTCACCATGAGGAACTTGGCAACTCGAGCTTGTGAGGCTCAATTCATCGCCATGTTCTCGGCTTCGCTCTGTTGCATTGTGAGATATGACTCGGTAGTCCAAAGTGTATAAGTACTCAATCGCTTGCTTCACCAAAGTCGGATCTTCTTGCATCTCAACGGAATTTGTGGTAGCTTCCTATTGCGTTTCCCGAGTCAGACAGATGTCTTCAAATGGCAGGCCACTCTGGCTGCTTACGATGAAATCTCCATCCATGGCACCAGAGAAGAATCCTGACTGCGCGCAAACTATACATTTATGGGCAGGGAAGGACTCTTCACCGCACAAAATGGTGAAGTCACTATATTTTGGGTTGAGACGCATGCTGACCTCCGATCAGTTGATATGCAAATGCTATTTGCGGAAGAGAGGTGATTGATCAATTGCTTGACAACCTAAAGCACGTACTTTGCTAGAGCATTCTTAAGTTCTTGGAGGGGGATCGGGGTTTCAATTTTGTTGCTCAAAGGTCTTTCGAGTACCTCATGCGCGGCCCAGGAAGATGTTTTGTGTACTGGTCTCTTCATTGGCATTTTGATAGTCGAGTTGTTTTGATGCTCTGCTTAAAATCATGGTCGAGAATAAAAAGATATGTGATACTGACCCCGTCAGAAACTATATATAGTCCATCAATAGAACATCTAGAATAAATCAATGACATCATAGTGAAATAGCCTTCCGTTAACAGCTGGTTTCATCGTTTTAGCCAAATACGAATACTCCCTTGCTGGTGGCCCCCTTGCCACACATTATCATTTGATATGGGGATCCTCGTATTGAAAAATTTTGTTAGGCAAATTGTGATAGGGTGCCAGAATAGGACCGCACTGCTCTAACCTTCTTCAAGTGACTCGTAAAGTGTCTTGCTGTCTTTGAAAACAGCGATGAACGTTTTTGAATGTGCCCTATCGAATCCGGTAAGCCTAAGCAAATTCCACCTTTGGAGCTTTCTGGTGCCCGCGGTGGTCATCAAAGCAATTTGATGAATTCAAAAATACGATCTACATGGGCAGTCATCTCAGCTGATCTATACTGATGCTTCTTATTGGTTAGCACCCTCATAAGCTAGGATATTCGACTCATATGACAGCAAGCATAGAAGTATGAGGTATTCCTGATTGGAAACTCAAGATTAATTGAAGCTTGGGTTTTGCGACATCGAGACACGGATGTTAAACAGTGCCTAGAGTACGAGTCAACATGTCGATGGAGAGACATCGTGTTTCCTTTGCTAACCAAGGCTACCTTCGGTCCCGAGTTGAATATGATGCTCGCAAATGATATTGTACTTGCCCGCAGCAAAGGATTGTGCTGTAATATCTTTCGCTTAAGGACGTAAGTCCTACAAAGTAATAAATTAATGAGAGATTACGACTGAAGGCGTAGGACAAAGGAGTGCTGAGGTTCATGGTTTTAAGAAGCAGGGTGTCGGAAATCATCGAGCTGTAGCACAGATCGCGAAGACTTGAGTCGTTAGGTATAATACAGAAGGCTAGAAGCGCAACAGTAGATATGTCGGACCCTGTATACGAGCGATATGATCGAGAGAAGGTAGTCGGACGGCCAAACCAGTCGGACGACTACAGGTTGTAAGACTGGGGTAGTCGGACGGCCAAACCAGTCGGACGACTACAGGTTGTAAGACTGGGGTAGTCGTAAGACCGGGATAGTCGTAAGACCGGGATAGTCGTAAGACTGGGGTAGTCGTAAGACCGGGATAGTCGTAAGACCGGGATAGTCGTAAGACTGGGGTAGTCGTAAGACCGGGATAGTCGTAAGACTGGAGTTCTAAGACTGGACGGGTCGTAAGATAGTACTTGTAAGACGGGCACAGTCGAAGGAGCATCTGCCGTCGCCTGTCCCAGGCGTAAGACTCGAGAAGTCGTCAGAACGTAGTTCGACGATTGCCGAAATTCCACGCTACCTCAATCATGAGCGAAGGAAGATTCCCTAGGTATTTGGATATCATTCAATATTGTTGAAGAAGCAGAGGCAAGTTCCGCAATTCCCTCATGCATCCAGAGGTCTTTCTTGAATCTCATGGAAACCATGAATGTACTATCAAGTATTGCAGTACACCCGCTTTTTCGGACGGTGGTTTTGCGCAATCTCGATCACAGAAAGTACATCAACTTCCACGCCTAGATTTGTTGTTGATGTTTTGTGTCTCGATAGAGATGGCTAGAACCCGCAAATTGTGTGGGTTATGGTCCAACCCCCAGCTTGTGAAGATATGAAATGACCTTGATACTCTAGACAATTTGTCTGTCACTCCGACGATTAGAAGGATAAAAAAAGGCGCGTATTTCAGTGAGCTAGAGCAGCCATGATCACATAGCCGTTGTAGTTGTCGGTACTGATCAGATAGCGGAACCAGAAGTCATCGTGCGAGGTAATATCCACTGTCTGCAGGATTTCACGGTTTTGTCTCTTTATGTTCTGTGTTGAACTGTCTAGAGCCTGAACACAGGGCGGCGCTTGGTTTTGAGCCTTCGGGATCGATCCGCGCGGATGACTGGTCCCGCTTATTAGGCATTCGCTGTTGTGTCCACTGCTCTGCGTTGTTGACATGTACGGCTGCGTTCTTGCATGTCTCTTCTTGTGCGAGCCTTTAAAGCCTCGATCCGGAGCGGTGGACAAAATGATTGAGTTGAGCACCTTCTCTGGCTATCAACTATCGACTGGCTCCCTGCGAACCAATCTGTATTTGCATCTTGATTATGTCTGAGGCATCGATACTATAATCTCAGGAATAGTAGTACTTCTCTTGGAGAAGCTCCGCCTGGGACGCTTTCCGAACACTTATAGCGAGGGCATCGTTCCTTGCTATCGCTACTGCTGTTATATCCGCTGTCAATCGCATCTCTCCTTTTGTCTGGTTCCTCTTCTTCACTCGTATCTGGCCATGGTTGACAAGCATAAATGATAACAACCAGTAAACTGATAGTTTGGGATTAACGGCCTGATTCATGCATTTCGGAAAATAACAAGCAGAGTGCTATTCTGAGAAGACCCGAGTTTTCAGCGACTGAAGCTCCGCGGAGTGCCCTGCAGCGTTCTCAGGGCGATCGCTAGCCCAACAATCAAGAGCTTTGGCCATGTCTCTATTGTACCAACGTGTTCAAAGCGACGTCCAGTTTGCCTGCTCAGACTTCGTAAATTTTCGATGTGAAATCAAAGCCCCCTACTTATAGCTAGGCTATTTCGCATCGCGTAGATGCAGGTTCGTCGATTTTGTGTAATCAGATATTCCGCTTGGGCTCAAATATTGAAGAATGGTAGTCTCGAATATCTGAGTGGGATATTGACGTTCCATTGATTGAGGCTAAGGAGCCATGAACCAATATCCTTCGAGTAGTAGATGTTCGGTAAGCGGATTCGAGTTCATTACTCTTGGCACATAGATTTTGGCCATTGATGTTGTGAGGTGTGATTGAAGATATATCATCCCATCGAAGTGTGCTTCGAAAATCACGGTCTCCTCCCCGATGACTGCATTCGAATGAAGGGTTTCCCAAATGACAGAAAGTCCCGAGCACTTAGATTTAAGAAGATCTTGCTGCCAGCAAGTCTCCTTCCATAACCTTTCGATCGATATCAGACGCTCCTGTCGCGCCAGAAGGTTGTCATTCTTAGCTGTGAAAATCGAAAGGCGAAAATCTATCGCTCACGTGATCGACGGGCGGTACTCAAAATCTCTTGCTGTGTGGTGAAAATCCTCCTAGCGATTTCGCGAGGGATATACCAGATGGCAGTACATCATACTGACCCCATTGGATTCCAAGACCATATGATTATTCATACTTCTGAGGGCCAGCCTAGTCTGATGCTGCTCGGCAATGCAAGCAATCCGAGAAACATGGAAAACTCATGGCTGTTTCTTGTTGAGTTCAGTCACTTGATCCTACCAGCCTTGTTTTGCGGCAGCCGTGCCGTCCAGCGTTCTAGGAAGAGGGCATTGATCGCCGCCTTAATGGCGCGACGGGCTTTTAGATGACTTCCCGTCGGATATATCTCTCCAATTTCCATACTCGGCAGCAGGGGCACTTCGCATTCCAAGCTGATACTCAGCCGTCATCATCAGACAAGATTTTCCGCAGAAGGGTAGAGACCGTCTAAATTCAGTCCAACAGTTCACTACTGCTGCGGCGTGTCTGTGCGGGGAATCGAGGTAACTCCTGGCTTTGGTCATGACTTCTTTTGAATTTAACCAGGAATCAAGCTCAAAACGTCGACGCTCCAATGTCAACCGAACGTCAACAACGAAGAAGCGGGATTGACGTATGTGATTTGAAGTATCAGCCGTCAATTTCGGCGTTGTATGGTTTCCAAATCGCTGAGTACCTCTTTAGGCCAAAGCTAGTGAGCGGACTATTCCTCCGATATTGAAGATATGAGTTGCTGGTTAGGTTGACCAGAAAACCAGAAGCACAGCCGAGCCGTTGCGATGGCCATTGAGCCATGATCGAGGGGATAATTCGAGTGAATCATGGTAAGCACACTCGATCAATTAACGAATCGTTGACCAAGTGGTCAGCGAAGATGGCGCCGCGAAATCAGCCCACTACCCGTGAGAATTTTGACAATAGTCAGGGTCATAGCAAAAACGGCGAGACTTGCGGGCCTTAGGGATACCTCATACGCTTTTTGCCAGATTTTATGTCACCGAGCACCACCTGCACATTCACTGAACGGAAGCCAGACCTTTTTTCAGAGGAAGCCATGTGTGTGTACAACTTGGTTTATCTTTCCAAATGTATCCGGCGGCAGCACTCGTGCCATTCGGCTTGCTGCTCGTATTCAGGCTAGGACAAATGGCCAATGCTCACATCTGAGAATGACCGAGGTCAACCTGACTGCGCTGCGGTGGGAGGGTATGAAGGCATCCAGGAACTTTGAAGTGTTGTCACTATTAGTATATCGACCCTGGTCATCCAACGCTTCGTGTAGTCTCCAGAAGTCGCCCAAAATTCGTCCATCTGGCTAAAACTTCGGGTGACTTCTTGCATCCATGAAGTCAGTTCTTAATTGTTCAGCCAAAGACGGGATTGCTCACCTCCTTGCATACCAGGGTCGAAAGTGTATTTGGGTCGCCAAAAGGTAAAAGAGGGGTAAACATTATCACACTTACAAAGGTACATTTGATCAGGTCATTCTCGTGACATGTCCGACAAGCGACTGCACCATTTTTGTAATGAAGAATTGTGCTTCTTCTGTCAGCATGTGGGAGTAATGGACATCACTGGGCCCTCGGAAATTATAATACTCGAGAGAGTATTAAGTGCTTCAAGGCTAATATCTGCATGGTGCAGCAGATGAACAGTGGACAACAGAGAGGAAATATGGGAAGGCCAACCGGTAAGGTCGTGGTTGACGGTCTACCAACAATCGGGGCGCACAGGAATGATCCAATTTGGAGACACGGCCTTCTAAGCACTAACCTGGCCAGCCATGAACAAGGAGCCTCATTCACTGTGTTTATTAGTCGGCAACTTTCGTGGCTCACCCCATCAGTTCGTCGCGCACTTTTGAGAATGGGCCATATGTTTACCAGCGGGACGATGATGGTTCCCTTTCTGGATACTTGGCAAAACTTCGGTACGATTGCTTAGTCAGTACATGGGAGACGGGAGAGTAGAACAACTGGACCCAGGTCTACTATTGCTGTTGACTGATATTCCTTAGGAACTTAGCGTCTCAGCTGTCAAATATGGAGTTGAACCGTGAATACTTTCTGCACAAATGGCTGGCAATTTGTACTGTGAATCAAAATCGAGAAGGCCGGGGGGTAGGAGCCTTTTAAGCATAGCAAATGCATGGGATGTGGATTCTGGAATTTTCTGGCATGGTTCCTACCTACCCAGGTACTAACCTAAAGTGCTCGTCTATTAAGGTACGGTACCGGATGGGCGCTTTGTTAAGGTACGTTACCAAATGGGCGCTTTTTTGTCTCATCGGCATAGGCACGTACCCGGATTGCGCCGTTAAATATTCCTTCTCACCTCCTTACTAATCTCTCTCGGATGCCAATTGATCAAACGGAATTTAAAACGTGCCCGCAACTTTTCATGGTAGGCAGAATATTACGCGCTGCATTATTTTCGCGCGGAGTAAGAGCCCGGCAAAAAACCACGGGGCGCAAAACTTTGCGGTGCGTAGAATGTGCACCCAGCGTTCACAGATGCCTCATTTCTACCTCTACGGTGTTATGAGCTACTCCAGACGCTAGCGGACGCCAGTGTATTTACGGCAGGCCACTTGTTCGGTTTGCAACGGGTGCCCTCTGGCACGCAAGTAGCTAATTGACTGCTATACCAGAGTATACATAGATGGTGGGTACAGGGAAGGTTGTTAGCCAGTCGAGAGCAGGTATAACTTAGGAAACTCATTTGGATAAGGTCAAGTTTACTATTACGGCGACATCAAGCAAGAAGGGATACAGGAATAGATCATATCTTGTACGGGGCCTTAAAAGTCGTATGCCCAGCGAGATAGCCTTTTGCGGATCTCGGACGGGAGAGAGATGCAGGATGACAGACGTTTTCTCAAGTGAACGAGAGTCCCGACAGTGCGTACGTGTACCGTACCTGTCAAGTCTTTCCATGGGACCAGGTCAATTGTGGTAAGCAAAATCTGTCCACACTTCGTAATGCTTTTCAAGAAGCTCTTTTGCCTTTGGCAAAATTTGTCTCTTGGAGTCGAGCACTATCCAAGGACAGCCAGAATATTGGTTGTTGTATTGCGCCTCATCTTTTTCTCGCATTTCGGCCAGTTGCGACCGTGTCAGGTTGAGCCGCGAGCTACACCGTAGCTGAGTCAGCGAATCCTGAGCATTTATTCCCGCAGTATCAAGCGTCCTTTCCCCGAAAACCAAATTTCTGAACGCCGACTCCAAGGAATGGAAATATTCCAGGGTTGCAGGGCGGGTGTAAAAAGCACAGGTAACAAGGGCATCCACTTGGCTGTTGGTAAAGGTGTGAATCGTTCTGAGGCTCGCGTCAGCGGTTAAGACATTGACTGAATAGTTTACTCACAATTTCTCAATTACAGCAGCGTCGGTGGCTAGGAGAAAACCGAAACCAAGTACACTTGCGAGCTGCCACAAACGGAACCCCTTTTGTCGGTACTTGTGAACTGCTTTGCGCCAAGTGTCTGTACTGCATCTCTCAAAGGGACCATCCTCCAGATGCTGGGTGATCAAGTCAATCAAATGGCTTGTTTTTCGGCCTCTTTTGGGACGCAAGCCGAATCTGTCTGGATCACTGGAGAGCACAGCGTAGTTCAAATAAAATAAAAAACACTTTATTCTACCAGCAAAAGAGTCCGAAATAGGGTCGGCTTCGAGGTCGCCGAGACACCTCGCCGCGGCCTCTACACCAAACCATAAAGTGGGGATACCAACAGGAAGCAAACCGTGGGCCACATTTTCTTCCCAGCAGGCCCAAATAGGCTCAAGGATTTGACGCGGACTTCTGACGACAAGGTGCCTTTGCGCGTCCAGGACCTGCAGGATTTCTTCATGGTTCAACCGTCTTTTCTTCGCGAACTCACATTGTGACAGAAGCGCGTATATAATGTGCTCGTCAAATGTCAGGCTCAAAGCAGATTCTGGCACGCGCCTCGGTCGTTTGCGGGGCTTGCCCGGATTCTGAACAGTCTCGGGGCAAGATTCTTGATTAACACCTCGGGATACCCTCACGTCGCTCAGTGTTTCAGAAGGCGTACCACCGCCCAAAGCAACAGGTGCTCTGAAACTCTCAGAATTTACTTCTTTTGCGACGTCAGAGGGACTTATGCACTGGGAATTGTCCGCCCCGGTTAATGGCAGCCTAGCCGAAGCTGCTGCACCATCTGGAAATGCTGCAAAAGAAAGTGGTTAGGAATGGATCAATAAGAAGTTTCGAAAGATCTCATTCACCCACGCTGTATTCGTGCATACAGCGAGGAGACCCTCAAACAAACTAGAGTACTTGCATTCGTTGTCTGTATCATGTAGGCTAGCCGTTATTACGTCGAAATCGTCTCTGACAGTCAAGACACCGCGGCTCGGTATGAAACCCCCATGGTATGCCCTTTCAGACAGCTGGCGAATTAGCGCGTATGAAAGTGGCTGCAATTCTCGACGAAGTATTCCAATCAGAGAAGAGAGCTGTCAGTTGCTTAGCAATTGTCCAATCTGATTTCGAGGGCTCAAATTACTTCGAAGAACTTTGTTTCTGTTAAGGCATCAATAGGAGAGGGACTCGCCTGTAATGGCAATAATGTTAGCGGGTAATTCAGACATGGGCGCGGGTAAACTTGCGTCCAATACTATCGTTAGCTCTGGCATCCTCGGCTATTCAGAAGTACTTTTCTGACGTGTGCAGGCTATGTTCTTATTCGGAAAGCTGTGGTAGGTAATTCTGCCTCGATCAGATCTATATTGCCAGCTCTAGGTATTGCCATTATATCCTTGGGCATTATCAATATACTTGGTGTTATTCTGGAATCTGAGTATCTCTGAGAGACGAGAAAATGCATCAACAGAACGCAGATGAACCATAGTAGGACAATTAGCTTTGAACAAAGAGTTGAACGGAATCATTTTATTGTAATGAGCGACATTCATCTGTTCAACACCTCGCAGTTGACGATTTTTTTCTTTGAATCGTTATAGCCCGGGTACTCGAACTCTAAAATGGCGCCAAAGAAGACCGGTCTTGACTAGTGCTTACTCGGCCCAAGTGTGGATTCCGAGCCAGTGCTTGCAACTGCCCTCTCTTTTCTACCTGTGCAACTGCTGTATGAGTTGCGTTCAACACGCGACTATGCAGATGCTCAACTCTTGCAACCTGTTCAACAGCAACCGCAATTGAATGCATAGCCTGGAAAGCGCGAAAGACCGGTCTCAATTAGTGCTATCGTAGCTCTCCCATGGCATGTTCCAGCGGGTCAAGGAATCGTTCATTCCCTAGATTATTTTCTTTACTTGAGGACTCGAGATTTGTCTCTACTTGTCCTGGTATGTTTCTGTGTGATTACATATCGCAAGTTTTAATTATTGAGACCGAGTAATGGAGCGGGCGCCCGCAGCAACCAAATCGCGAATTGTCCTTATAGCTTCTACATTGACGCAGTGACTCTCATTTTACCCTTATCTGACGAGTTGCAGAGGTGGTACAGACTCAGAAGTAGGGACAGACTGGAGAGTTGGGACAGACTGGAGAGTTGGGACAGACTGGAGAGTTGGGACAGACTGGAGAGTTGGGACAG